CCTTGTGAAAATTTTTGACAGGTAAATTATTATCTCGGGACTCACAGAGCCCAGGAAGCTGAAATTTAGGGCAATGACCCACTACCTACGCTCTACCTTGCCCATTCAAATTCAGCATTCCCGCGCCTTCGGGTGTCACCTACGGCCCCGTGAAAGTTTTTGCGAATAAATTATTATCTCGGGAACCCCAGTATCTACGAAGCTGAAAATTTAGGGTAATGACGCTCGACTCTGCCCATTCAAATTCAGCATTCCCGTGTTCTCGGATTAAACCTACGGTCTCATGAGAATTTTTGCGGGTAAATTATTATTTCGGAAACCGCGGAATTTATGAAGCTGAACATGGGTATGCCCTTTGCCCACGCGTGACCTAGAAAATTAAAATTCAGTCTTTCCGCTCCCGTGGGTAACAACTCCGTGAAAGTTTCGGCGAGTAAATTATTGTCTTGGGGACCAGGAATCCAGGGAGCTAAAATTCTGTAATAAAGACCCCCCCCCCTATCCACGTACGCATCGCAAATTCAAATACAGTATTTCTACGCTCTCGGGTATCATAAAGGCCAGGAAACTGAAATTTTATGGTAATGTCTTCTTTCCATATACAACCCTGCAATTTTAAATTCAGCTTTCCGCGCCTTCGAGTATCACTTACGGCCCAGTGGAAGTTTCGGCGTGGAAAATCATTATCTCGGAGACCGCGGAAGTTGAGAATCTGAAATTTTAGGGCGATCTTCTTCACAAACGTATGACCTCGCAAATTTGGACTCAACCTCCACGCAACGCTGGGTACCACGTACAGCCCCTTGAAAGTTTTGGCAGAGAAATTGTTATCTCGTGTGCGCGAAATTTTTAGTGGAAAATTCCGCAACTTAAGAACCAGACAACATTTTAACTATTTTTGCACAGACCAAAGTGCAAAGCAATGCAAATAATTAGCAGGCAATCGTTCGGTGGACGGAACTGCACACAACACATAATCGCACCGGCTGTCCTGGTGCGCGCCGCTATTTATTCTACTGTTTCCTGGACATCAGAAATTTTCTGAACATAAAAAAATTCTGCTGAGCATAAAAAAAAAAAAATAATTGGTCAACGCACGTACTGCCCGTGCGAAGATGCGTTTTTTTGCACAGTTTCCCGCAGTTTTTGTAGCTATCGGCATCGGTTTTTTCGGCAAATGCTTCTAGCTGAACAAATTAAGACTGGCCGCCAGAACTGGCAGGAAACACCTCCTTAAAATCTCAGCTTTCTAACTTTCCTGGCTCCTGAGTTATCACCTACTTGGACGGGGAACATCCCCCTAAGATTTCAGCGTTCTAGCTTCTCAGATCCCCGAGTTATGAACTTGCCCCAAAAAGATTTTGGCGGGCCCGTACGAAATTTTGGGGATTGAGGCCGGCACGTGCATGTAGATTATGTTCCCCAAATTTCAGCCCTGCAGCTTTTATAAGTCTTGAGATGAAACTGCGTGACAGACGCACACATAGACACACGGACACACAGACAACCCATCGTCAGTATGCGTTTTTGCATTACATAGCTGCAAAAAACGCATAAAAAAAGCAAAAAA